ATATATGTAAATATTCTGGAAATTATAAATACGAACTGAGCGCGGGTGCTAAACTGCAAATTAACCTATGCCGAACCGTATTTCTGGATTTCAAAATTCATTATTCTTATTAATTAATAAGGTCAGAAAGCTGTTTTAATTTTTTTCTTCTTTGTTTATAATAAGATTCGCCCTGTACAAGGGCCGAACGCTACTCGAGATAGAAGGTTACGTTAGGGGGTAGTTTATATGGATAGGCGGGGAAGATAACGATTAACTCTAGATTAAAACAATTTAAGATTGTAGTGATTGTGAAAACATCCTCTTGGGAGTCTATTCCACATGGCAGTGGTTCGCGGGAAGAAGCTGTTTGAGTGGAACTTACTCCTCACCGATGAAATACGGAGGAATTGTGGGTGGTTAGCTACTATGTAAACGGCATGGCCTGTCCTAGCCGTGAAGGTTTGACTTGGCGGAACCAAGGAATAGAGATCATCCAAGCATTTTCCATGGTAGTAGCAATAGAGCAGTGAGAGATTCGCCACATCCCGTCTGAGAGAGAGAGAGAGAGGTTGGACGGTAGAAAATAATTCTTTTCCAACAATGTCTCGGAGACGATTTTGACCTCTATCAGGACTGGAAAGTAAGGACTGGGCAGCTCCCGCCCAAATATGACAACAGTATTCCATTTTCGGCTTGATATGGCTCTTATAAAGTTAAAGAACAGCATAAGGAGTCAGTTACTTACACAAGCAATACATGGGGCCGGTCATTCTACCTGCATCTTTATATGCATTGTATATAAAAGTTCCACTTGATGCCGAGTGCGTGATTTAGGTTCAGTATTCTTTCAAGACACGAAGCCTACTCGAGGTGACATCCGTTCATCGTGACCAGCGGTAGTTGCGGGTGTGGGGTGGTGATGGAATGTAATAATCATACTATATTATAACGCTAGGTCAAACGTATTTTCAATAATCCCTTTATAATTTTGAAGCTTAAGAATTTCTATTCACATCTTATATATCGATGATCCTAGATCTTCTGTAGGTTTTCAAAGCAGGGGAGGATCTCCTGCGTGGCAATCGTTCGGAACGCTTTTCCATCTGTAGAAATGAAAACCTCGTCGAATATGCGTTGCCAAAGTGTAGTGGCTCTGTAGGTAGAAAGTCTCTATTTTTACCTGGCTGGTAATGGTAAATATGAACCATTTCCATACAGGAAACATTCGGCATTTATTGACCGAAAAGTTAAGGTTACCGTCGGTTGAAATTTAGAATATTTTTTTCTTAAAAGAGTTTTTCAAGAAATTAGAAATCTCAAGTCTGTTAACTATTGTCGCCCCTTCTAGTATGATGGGAATTTCCTTACTAACCATTTGTTTAACGTAGTGTGAAAATCAACATTTTGCTTATATCATTATTTTATAGCTTCTATTGGTTATTACACTTAGAGCTGTTCTTCATCTTTGTTGTTACTCTTCAAAGTGATCAAGTGATATAAATTTGGGTTATTTGGTAATGTTCTCTGGTTTTTGATTGTGTAGAGCTAGCGTATAAGATGGCGGAAAAATCTGTTTCCTTTAAAACCTAAAGGATTCATTCGCATGAAGACATTTTTGAAAATTCCCTTCAACGTGCTGTGTTTATTTGACTTGGTTTAGAAAAAAAATCAGATGCATTACTTTCAGAGCATCCCTCCCTGTGAAAATTATTGAGCGTGAGTGTGTGAGAAGGTGTGTGGGTGTGTGTGCGTGTGTGTGTGAGAAGGTGTGTGTGTGTGTGCGTGCGTGTGTGTGTGTGTTCATGATTGAATTATATAAAATATTATACAAAAGTGTAGGGAGCTCATTTATAGACAGCGCCTCTTATACTTAAGTAATAATATAATATAATTATATAGCATAATAATATAATAATTACATAATATAATATTTATATCATAAAATAATTATATGTTATAATACATATTTAATAATTTTATAATATAATGATATATATTATATACAATGATATATAATATATATTATATATCATACAGTATATTATATTTTTATATATCTAATATATTATTATATATCGTATGATACAAGAATATAATATATATATATATATATATATATATATATATATATATATATATATATATATAAAAAGTAAACATTGAAGTCAATACTCAGAGACGAATGACTGTTTCATAATAGACGCAATCATTAGGCCTGACTTTATATTTTCATACGCTCAGTCCCTGATATTGAGCACTTTATTCCTTAAATATAGCACACCTTAAAATTATATTTATTCATATATATATATATATATATATATATATATATATATGAATAATTATATATATATATATATATATATATATATATATATATATATATATATATGTATATATATAATAAAAATTATATAATATAATTATATAATATAATAAAGTTGTGTGCCTGAGTGTATGCCCAAGGTGTGTGGGGGTGGGATCCTTGATTGACATATATAGAAGATGAAATATGATACAAAAATGTCGGGAGATGATCGACAGAAAGCGCCTCTAATACTCTCTTGTAGAGGAAGTTTTTTGGTTTTCTTCTCTTATATACGAAGTGCTGATCAATTAAATAAGCCAGACACAGATAAATGTTTTCCGACATTCGACCCTTTCGTTTCAATTTATATTTTATAATATTTTCTCATTGATTAAACACAGTATTTATAGCCCAAGTCCAGCTGTATCATTTTCTACGTCATTATTTTCACTTCGAATTACATCCATTTTAGTTGTCGCTGCTGTTGGTTGTCATCAGGTGATTTGGTTTCTGTTATTTAGTACAATTCATTGTTTCTGGTTCTGTAACGCCATGCCACATTGTTCAAAGAAGGGTGGTCTCTATCATGACGCTCAAGTTACACCAGTTGTCGCTGCTGTTGGTTGCAAAAGTACAACATGGTTTTAAAGCATTGATCTTCATGACGAAACACCAGCAAAAAAGACATTTTTGTATACAGCTGACAGTGTAGATATTTTTAAGCGGGTTTGGCGTCATGTACTCTGGTACCCGTGCGAAAGGAATGAATCCACCTCTGCTATATAAAAGTCTCAAAGTACGTGCCTAGGTGTTTTTCAGAGTAATTTTTTGGTTCTGTAGAAATTTGCAGTATTGGGCAAAACTACGTCTCACACAAGAGATCAGAAAATTAAATATTCTGATTGTTTTATAGGAATTTGATCATCATGAACTAGTACACCACAAGGTTACACACGTGAGTTTAGATTGAACTCACTACGATAGAACGTCAAGACTCCATCGCTAACTGCTGCTCCATGGTGAGGTAATATATGCATAATTTACGTTCATATTTTACCCGGAAAGCAGAAAATGATCCGAAGAAAAATTTTAGAATCATAAGGATGTTTCATTTTCTTTCAAACAAGCGGGAATAAAAATACTGTGTTTTAGGTAGCAATCCTTCAATACTACACGTTTGATTAAAGGCAATAGAAAAGGAATGTCTTCTTTTAGTAATTACTAATTAACATTAGTTGCTTGCACAATGATAAACACTTTCCAGGATGTATTAAAAAGAAAATATTAACCAAATGCTTATTACAAAGATACTAAAAAAATATCTATATAAATAAAGCGCTATGTCCGTTCGTCCGTTTGTCCGTCCGTCTGTTTTTCAATAAATACAAACCCTAGACAATCTTGCGCACAAAATAATGTAAACAAACTACAGAGATTTGTTGCGAATACGAAGAATAATTATGCCGAATTAAGGTGTCGAATAAAGATAAAATAATTTTATTATTTCTAAATTCTTGTTACTTTTACGTACATAGGGCGCTGATAGTAAAAGGCTGAAGGCCCAAACTCCCCCCCGTAGGAGCTAGCCTAAAGTCCGCCAGAAGGGCTGATTCTAGGCTAGTTTAAAATATATGGAAATTATTTTCAAACCTCTCCCACAAACGAAACGTCGCTGGCTTTTCACTACTCTATCTATATTACTTAGTACCACCATTAACAGCAAAACAAAAAAAAAACACCATTACTACGAATATAGGGTCGAATTCTCCCCATTCCCTTTGTATTGCATTGCAAAAAAAAATGTTCCATTCGAATAGCTTCCCCCAGAGAATCACTACATTATGGACTCAAATTTCAAGATGATGTTTTCCCAATCGCTAGGATCTTAATCTCTTGAATTCAAAAATTATCTATCCTACATATCCTCATAATCCGCACATATACAGGGCTTACGGTCACATCAGGTTGAAACACTTGCGATTATCGAAGTTAAGCAACGTCAAGTCTGGTCAATGCCTAGATGACTGACTGGATTGCGAAACACCAGATGCTGTAAGCTTATTTCCTTACACACTGGTACCCGTGTGAAAGGAATGAATCCACCTCTGCTCTCCGCCACCTATAGATTAATCGGTGGGATTTGTATCACTAAACCATTATTATCTAAAAGAAAATCTTACAATATTTTCTGGCTTCAAATAAACGGCAAAGGATTGATAAGCCGTAGTAAACGAATCAATCAACGAATCCACTTATATACAAAAACGTTATTCAGTAACTATCTACTTTGAATGGTTCTTAGGTCCTGTATTCTGTGAACATTTAATAAACATGAAAGAAAATCACAAACATGAAACCCGATGAGATGATCGAACTCACAGTTACACTGAACGTCTAGATTAGACCGTCAATCATTACTCCAGGCCGAGATGATTTGCTATTCTTCTTCTTTATGCGCCATTTCCATTCAGAACGTAGACGATCATAGCCCTCCACCTCTTCCTGTATCTTGTAGCTTTTAATAAGTTTTGTCTTTTTGTTATTTCTCCCAAACCCCGTTCTGCTATTCATTTCCTCAAGACCGTCAAGAATGTTACGCGCTGCTTTCCTCTGTCCCTCTCTACCTCAATCTGCCCCGTGAGTATCAGATTTTCCAAGCCCTCCTACCTTATCACGTGCATCTGAGTGAGTGTGTGCGCGCGCGTGTGGGCTTGCGGCCACATCACATAGTAACAGCGGTTTTCGTACGCTCACCGAAGTTAAGTAACGTCGAGTCTGGTTAGTACCTAGATGGGTGACCGCTTAGGAATAACAGATCCTGCAAGCTTGGATGTGCGGGTGGTGTAATAGATAATGGCTCAGAATTGTTCATCGGAGACGGTGATAAGGTAGGGTAATAGATCAAAAATCAAGAGCCGTGTTCCAATTCTAGTTGGGTTCGTTACTTATTCACTTACGCGCAAATAACCTTGGGAAAGGAATGAATCCACCTTATATATATCCCCAGCTATGGGTTAATTAGTAAGAATTGTATCACTAAATCAATACTATGTTTAAAAAAAGGTCTCTACTTTAAATGGTTCTTGTGTCCTGTATTGGGTTAACATTTAATAAACAGGAAAGAAAATCACAAACATGAGACAGTTGCAGGTGATTGGAATCTCGAACTGAACCCTTTATTTTCTCCATCCGAGTAGACTGATCTATTTCCACGTGACATGCCTCTTCCTAGTGTCTCATTTATCTCACTTTAACACAACTCTCCATGTTTTTGTTCCCCACTGCATTAGCCAGGTATTGTAGTCACAAATCTTTGGGTCCGTTGTACGCCCCAGCCCTCTTCAGGTGATTGGAATTTCGAACTGAAGCCTTTATTTCGTCCACCGGGGGAGATTGTTCTTGTTCCACACGCCATGCCTCTTCAGGATGTCTCAGTTATCTCCCTTTATCTCAACTCTTCAAGTTTTTGTTCACCACTGCCGTAGAGAAGTATTTATCTCACAACATTTTTAACCCGTTGTACGGCCGAAGCGTTGTGAATATACCAATAAAGATGATGACAACAGTCTGAACTATGTAAATAATTTTAATACGTCATCTCAGAAATATAGACAAATTTTTAGTAGTTTGGCTGAAAATGACATGTATGGGGATCGAACTCAAAAAACAATAATGATATTTAATCGATCCAGTTCGATAACCATTACTCTATATCGATGTGCCCTATGTCTCTAATAGACATTGAAAACCGTACTGCTCAAATTGGTTTTATGATATATAAATGGGCAATTGTCGATAGCTCATTTCTGAGTACGCCTATCTGGTATGTTGGCTAGCTCAGATGCATTTGCGTTTCTTCAGCCCAAACAGAACTGAGCAGAACTTAATTATAGTTTCTGGGAGAGAGCGCCTAATCTGGAGTCATCATCAGTTGAACAAGAGCAATAGAATTAATCCCCCGGTCACGATAACTTGTGATTAGACGATTTCTGAATAGTTTCGTCTATACAGTTTCACTGCTAAGACATTGGTCTATGCAAACCTGCTTCACTCAGAATCCTACTTCACAATTTTTGGGTGGGTGATTATTTGCATATTTTATTATTAAAACTACATACAATGCTAGTTTTAATAGCATACTAGCAGCATGTCCCGGCGTTACCCGTGCTTGATTCAAAAATCGTACGACTCATACAACAATCGATATCACATGACTTTAAATATTTTTGCTCTTCCTTGCCTTTAAAGGAGTGCCCTTTGCCGTGCTGATGTTGCTACATGCCTTACTTCTTGCCTATCTCACACTGCGAATTTTCTCTAAGCTCTATACTAAGCATTAAATCTGTTACGAAAAAAGAACTAAACAAAATGAACACAAAACGATCAGCTTTAAAAAAGGACTCGTAACTGGAAAAACCGAATGAAAAAAGAATGTTAACAACAAATATTTTTCACACCCAACCCAGTTCTGTGGAATCAGAATCAACGTTGAGTTTGAGCAAGCGAATGAGCCAATTGGAGTAAATTGCCATGCAGATTTAAATTTTTCCCACTTGTGACGAATGCAGCTATCGATATTTTTTTGGCATGCTAGCATGCTAGTTAACATTCGTGTCAGTCAGCTGTTGGCTCTCACGCTGGCCAATAGAATATTCTTGCCTATTCGTGGAAGCCAGCTATAGGCTCTCACCCTGGCCAGTGGAAAATGACCGAAAACTACATGCAAACTGCCGTAGAAGCATAAAAAAATCGATTATCTCCACTATCGATGGGAGTTAGGAAATGCAAAGTCGGTCTTGGCCTTCCCGCTATCTTGGAGCAAGGGCATGTAAATTTTGGTGCAAATCTGTCGAAAATTGCGGCCGTGCATTTGTTACACACACACACACACACACACACACACACATCCTATATATATATATATATATATATATATATATATATATATATATATGTGTGTGTGTGTGTGTGTGTGTGTGTGTGTGTGTGTGTGTGTGTGTGTGTGTGAAAAGTGTATATAAATATAAATAAATATATATATGTATAATTATTTATATATTATATGCGCGGTACTTATTAGAAAGCGCTCAATATCAGAGATAGAGCTAACATATTTTGTTACAAACTCACATCTATCCAATCAAAAATATATATATATATATATATATATATATATATATATATATATATATATATATTTGTAAATCATATCATTCCATGCAAGGCAATAAAGCTACTAAGACGCAAAAAAGTTATTAGCGTGAAAGAAACTAAGAAAATGTTGCTGAGGCGAAAGAACAAAAAGTAAAGAACAAGAGTTAAGAAGACAAAATGTGATGAGTAATACAGCATTTACGCTTTTGAACATCAAAATTGACCGGAAAGCAAGGAGCTGGAAGCGATTTACGCAGGCGAGAAGTGCGAAAGAAGACACTGATAGTATAGAACTTACGGTTACAACTTGCAATTTCAACATTAAAATGATAAAGTCGATGTGTCAAAGAGGAGAGCTCATTAGAATAATTGCTATGAAAATATTGATAGAAAACGCACAGTGATCATATGATACGGCGGTAGGAAAATGATTGAAGACGAGATGTCAGGCCAGGACCGATAATATTTTCTCAAGAATCTCAAGATGAAAGAAAAAAAAAGAAACACCAGACCAGCTCATTGGGACGTTTATTTTTGTTTATTTATTTCGATTTACAATATTATACTAATCTTAAGATACAATTTCTTCTGGCAATATTTACCTACTCTGGCTGAAAAACGATAGTAAAAAGGAAATTATATTTCATTCCGATCTATATGCAGTCAGGCAACCATTTTTCTCCACTGAATAGTAAACATGGCTGTCAGCATTAAGTTATGTTCACATTCGTTAGTGCATTGACTACCGTTGCCATATCTGGTCAGGTGATCCTGCTACTCATCTCGAGGTTCTTGACATCCCGACGTGACGTGGCTTCCTTCTGTCTTTTCTAGAAATATTTTCATAGCTACTGCTCTGACGAGCTTTTTTTCCCCTGGTGCTCGGACTACGTGTGTTTAAACTTGTTACTAGAGTGGCATCTAAGTATCCTTTTACTGTTGGATTAGGTAAACATAACCGCCACTTCTACTCCCAAGATTTTCTTTTCTCGAATTTCCCGCCCGTGGAACTCCCTTCTGTTTGCTTGCTTTACTGGTAACTACAATCTTCAAAGATTTAAATGCAACGTCAATCGCCATCTTCTATTTTCTTAAACCCCGTTCAATTTTTATCTTTTCCTTGGTCCCCTCCACTATATCTAGTCTTATCTCTCATCTTCACTCTCTGTAACCCCCCTCCTGCATACTAGTAGCATTCCCGCCTTGTTTGGCGTGAAATGATTTTTTAAAAAACACAAAAATAAATTAAATATTTCGTTAAAAACTATATGAAATCGCGTTAGGAATAAATAACCTATCTTCAGATAGTAAAACCGTCTTTTATTTCTTGTTTAATATCTTGTTTTGTTCATGTAACGAAGAATATTTGGACATTATTTAAATCCAGTTTTTCGTTTTTTTTTTTTCTTTCAGGTAAGTCATATGTGGCTTATTCACTTGGAAAATCTAATTTTAAATCAGCTACACTGAGAGATTCGGGGAGAGCAGCACAAATTTCGTTATTGTGTTCTTGCAACAACGTCGCGTGATGGCATTAAAATTCCGACACCTTTCTTCAGTAAAAGAAGAAGAAAAATCAGGAAGGAAATTTCGGTAACCAGGTTTGAAGTTGTTTTGATTTTTGTAAACGTTTCTTTTCAATATTTATCTCTCCATAATTTCAGGTCTTCCGTGCGTTTGATATTTTAGTAAATATTACACATGATTCTAAACAATCATTTCAATGCAACACCCGGCGTCATATATTCAGTGCTAAAATTTGGTAATTTAAATTCTAGATGGAAAATTTCAAAATAGTAATAATCCATATCTATAAAATAGAAGATATCTGTGTGTGTTTGTTTGTGTATATGTTTGTTCTTTATGCACGTCCACATTTCTCGAAAGATTTCGATGAAATCGTACACACTTCATGGAAATTTATCAACTTAGGTCAAAACCAACATTGTTATCTCCAGCGCCCCCCCCCACTTACTGGGTTTAGAAGAAAAATCGATAAAACTGAAGGTGGGTACGACATTTTGCAAAATCCAAGGCAAAGTTACAAAACTTTTACAGGATCAGCTGGTTTTCTTTACATTTAATACAAATTATATCTCATGTTACGAGCTTTATGTAGAGTGCTTGATAGTTTTCCTGCAACATTGGCTTCACACAAAAAATTGCAAAAATCTGAGGAAAAATCAGGTTATTCGGACAACTTAAAATGAAAACTTCCTCATATTTTATCCGATTTTCTCCAAACATGTCGCAAAAAAATTGTCATCATTCAAGAAATAAGATTGTGTGGTTTTAGTTCCGCTCGCTTCCCCGTGTATAACGAAGAACTACAAAAAACTGCTCAAAAAGCCCGTTTTCCTGCCATAACTCCCTTTTTTTATCTTCGATGTTTTCCAAATTTGTCATGTAAATTACATATAACACACACATTGTCTTGTGAAATGTTTGGTTTAGATTATTCTAGTTAGGTCTAGGTCCAAAATCAGCTTGTGTCGTTTCGCCAAGAGTTTTTTATATGATTCCATCCTAAATTGGCATTCGAAAAATCTTTGCATCAAAGATTGTTTGAAAAGGATTACTGAGGCGTTAAAAGGGAAAAAAAAACAAAGAACCTCTTATTAACGCCAGCTTTACAGTAAACGTGCAGTTAAATCAAGCTCTGACGCTTCAT